TGTTAGGCATACTACCAACGTTAATCCTGAGCTAGGATCAAACTCTTAAAAAGAAATAACTGTAAGAATTCACTCACAGGTTAAATTTTGGTTCCGTCTAGTTTTCAAAGATATTCAAAAATAATATTGTTTTGGGTAACAAGGAATAACAAGTAACCTTATATAATATATTTATTTATTTTTGTAGTAGTTAGCAAAATTAAATAATCTATAATAGAAATTTTATTTTAATTCTTTCTTTAAGTCTTCATAGACATCAGGACTTCTCTTTTTTAAGTAACTTAAAAATCTTTTTTCTTTTGCAATTTTTTTCAATAAAGCTCTCCTAACTGGTATATCTTTCTTATTACTTTCTAAATGAAGTTTTTCTTGATTAATTTTTCTTCTGAGAGAAATTATTTGAAGAGCAGTAGAACCAGTATCTTTTTGGTGGAGTTGATAATTTTTTTTCGTTATCATTCTATATTATTAATTTTATTTTAATTTTTTACTTACTAACTTGACAATTAAGAAAACGAAGAAAGTAAATAAAATAATGGGTAAACAGAAGAGGGTGATTTTTCCTCAATCAGTTTTACTTTCCAGTCTAATAGAATTTGGTTTTTTAATCATTTCATAAAAATAATCATTGTTACCCCAAAATCCAATTTTTTTGATTGTATCTTCGAAATAATTCTTGGTTTTTAATACCATTCAGTTTTTATTATTAGTATTAAATTTGGCTGATTTATTCTTTTCGAAACTTATAACAAACTTGTAGTCTTCAACTTCTCTGGATAGATTTCCAGATTCAATCCCTAATTCTTTTACTAAGTCATCAAGTATTCAAATTTGGCAAGGATTTTTAATTCTATCTTTAATGAAAAATTCATCTGGCATAACTTCAGAGTTAATTACTAATAATTCATGATAATCTCTTGTTTCTTTGTCATTAAAAAACCTCCTCTTTTTCTTCCTCAAATAGCAAACCTTGACTTTAAATTCTGACATACAAAAATGGCGCCTAGTGTAGGAATCGAACCTACGACCAATCGGTTAACAGCCGAACGCTCTGCCGCTGAGCTAACTAGGCCTCTATTAAACCAAAGAAAATGCTACCCGCAAATTATTATCACCCATCCGATAATTTAATTTAGTAATTCGACTATAACCACCAGCCCTATCTTTATACCTTTCTTTCAAATCAGAAAATAATTTGTCCATTAAATTTTTTCCTTCCTTATCCTCAACTTTTTTCTTATTGACTAAATAACGGAGAGCTAGGCGTCGAGAATGTAAAGTATCCTGTTTAGCTCATTCGATGAGTTTAGCCAATAATTTTGTTAAACTTCGAGCCATTGGCAAACTAGTCTCTAACTTTTCATACAAAATGGCGTCTGCAACTAAATTATTGATTACATGAGTACGTCATGCAGTATTTTTACCAGACTTATTAATGTAAGACATAATGTTTTATTTGATTTCAGTAATTGGTTTTTCTTTGCTAATTAGATTAGCAATTGACTGAAAAAGTTCTTGTGTTATTTCTAAAGACTTTTGAAAAGCTTTTTTTGGTTTAATAGAACCATTAGTAGTAATAAAAAGCGTCAATTCTTCCTCAGATTTATCCTGACTAATTATTACCTGTTTTACTTGAAAATTTATACCACTACTCTTTATTGGAGAATAATCAGTATCGAAGACAATAATATCCTCTTCTTCTGAGAAATATTCTTTTTTTTGTTCACCTTTCTCACGATAACCTCAATTTTTTTGAAAGTATAATTTTACTTCTAAACTAGCAGAAGGAGCCAAAGTAGCTAAATATAAATCAGGATTTTTAATTTCTACTTCTTTATCATGCTGAAAATCACCAGCGGTAATAATTCTTTCTTTCTTTCCTTTGTTGTTATCAACTTTCAATTCAAAAAAAAAAATTCCCTCTTTTTTCTCTTTTTCCTCTACAATAATTTTTTTCAAATTGATGATGAAATAAGGAGTTGTTTCTGTCAATCCTGTGAGAGTGCTAATTTCAGTCTTTACTGAATCATTTTTGTCGCTGATTTTTACTGCCAAGGGTGCTATTCCACTAATATTTGACAAAAGAGTTCGTCTCAAATAATTACCAAGAGTTATTCCTACGCCAGAAGATAAATGACGAAAAACAAAGGATGAATTATAAGGATTTTCTTTTAGAACTATTTCCTCGATCTTTAAATTACTAAATATTGTTGAAGTCATATATATTTTATTTTCGTGGTCTTTTTCGAGGTCGACAACCACCATGAGGAACAGGGGTTTTATCAATTAACTCTTCTACACTTAATGATTTTTCTTCGAGAACTTTTTTTATTACTGTGTCTCTACCAGAACCAATTCCCTTAACTTGTAATTTAACACTATAGACTCCAAATTCGGCTGCCTTTTTAATTATTTCTTGAACAACCTTTTCAGCCATAAAAGGAGTAGATTTTCTAGAGCCTGTTACTTTTTTGTTATTACCAAGGTTAATACTTCCTGAACTACTTTGAACTAGGACATCTCCGTTTTCTTTGCTTAGATTAAGAATAGTGTTGTTAAAATTAAAATGACCATTGATAACACCACGACCTTCAGAAACTTTTTTTACCTTTTTGTCCTTTATTTCCTTTTTTAAACTTTTTTTTGCCGTCGCCATTCTATATTATAAATTGTAACCAAAATTAAATAAAGATAATTCAAAAAAACCTCAGTAAAACTATTTTGCCATAGGAGCTTTTTTCTTGTTAGCAACAGTTATTCGCTTATGTCCTTTAGCAGTACGAGCGTTGTGCCTCGTTCTCTGTCCGTGGATTGGTAAGGGATTAGGCTTACGAGAACGCCTTAACCCTTTATAGATTCCAAGTGTGATTTGTTCACTAATATTTTTTTGAACCTTTTCTTTTAATTCCCCTTCAGTAGGAAATTTTTTAATTTCTCCACCAATCAGTTTAATTTCTTCTGTAGATAGATCACGAATTTTTTTTTTGCTTCCAATGCTTAATTTTCCAATTATCATTTCAGCTGTAGGCAAACCAATTCCATAGAAACTAGTCAAGCCTGCTCGAATATTTTTGCTATCTGATATTTCTTTATTGCCGATACGAACCATATATTTTTTTTATAAACGCGAAACCCGAAACTTAATTTTTACCCCTGCCTTTGTTTATGCTTAGGACTCTCTTTGCAATAGATGTAACGTTTGCCTTCTCTTTTTATGACTTGGCAACTACGGCACATTATTTTGATGGAACTACGAACTTTCATGATATTATTAATTTAATAATTTAATTTTGTAAGAAAATTTACTTTTCAGCATAAAAAAATTTTATCACCGGAATTTTTTTTAGGAAGGGTCATTAAATGATTTATTTTCCTTAATAAACTAATCCAACGAAAGGAGACTTTGCCCCTTAAAAGTAAATTCGTTTTTTATTTTCCTTGACTTTCTTTTATATCCCGTTAAAGTAAATTCTAAAAAAAAAGGAAAGAACAAGACCAATTACAAGAAAAAAAACAATCTTTTTAATGTCGTCATTCATAAACTCATTTTTCTAATTCTCCCATTAAGGTTGTTGATTATTTTGCTACTGTTTTGACTCAATTGGCACACCTTATTTTTTTTACTTTTATTTGTGAATTTACTAGCAAATTTTCAAGTTTGGTGGAAAAATTAAATTAAATAAAAATGGAATTTCTCCAAGAATTAAACGAACGGCAAAAGCAAGCCGTTTATGAAGAACACAACAGAATATGTGTCATCGCTGGACCCGGCTGTGGCAAAACTAAAACTTTAGTCAGTCGTTTTATCTATTTATTATCCAGTCAAAAAACTCAACCGGAAAATATCTTAGTTCTAACTTTTGCCAAAAAGGCCATTAAAGAAATAAAAAAAAGGGTTTTTTCTCACATTACTAACATTTCCCCAAAGGATTTGCGCATTTATAATTTTCACTCCTTTTGCTTTCATGTTCTTAATAAATATTCTCATTTATTAGGTTTTCCTGACAATAAATTTCCGGTTTATGACCGTCACGAACAAGAAATAATAATTCGCAAAATACTTTACCAAAATGATCAGAATGCAGAAAAAAAGGAGATAAACACTATTCTATCTTATATTAGTGGTTGAAAAAATGGCAAATTAGATAATATTCCCTTAAAATTTGATGAATTAACTAAGGAAAGATACGAAATATACCAAAAATACGAAGAATATTTAAAAACTAACAAAGCTTTAGACTTCAATGATCTTCTTCTTTACACTATTGCTCTTTTTACTAATCATCCTCGGGTTTGTCAAGAATATCAATCACAATTTACTCATATTTTGTTAGATGAATTTCAAGATATCAATAGCGTTCAGTGAGAAGTAATCAAATTAATTATTACCGCTAAACAAAATGTTTTTTTAGTTGGTGATCCGAACCAAGCCATTTATGGATTTCAAGGAGCAACTCCGGAATTAATCTCTTCTTTTACCAAAAACAAAGAATGAAAAACCATTTATCTCAACATCAATTACCGCTCAACTAGCAACATAATTAATCTTTCTAATTCTTTTGTCCAAAAAAATCAATCTGTTCTCGTTAATAATCTTCTAAATTCTTCCAAGTCAGAAGGGTTAAAAGTTAATTTTCTAACCGGAATAACAATTCGCTCTATTGTCCGCCATATTTGTTGATTATTGATAAGGGAAAAAATTCAATTTAGTGATATTGCCGTTTTATATCGTAATAATTACCTTTCTACTCGCCTCGAACAAGAATTGGTGGCTCAGCGAATACCTTATGAAATATTAGGCGCTTTTAAATTTATCCAAAGGGAGGAAATTAAGGATGTCATGTCCTTTTTAAAAACTATTATCTATCAAGATAATATTTCTTTGCTAAGAGTATTAGGACTCCAAGAAAAAATTGGAATCCGCACCATTGAAAAAATTGAACAAAATAGTGAAAAAAAAAGAATTGGTGCCTATGAATATTTGAATAATTTTGCTAATGATAATATTTCAAAAGAAGGAGAAAAATGACCCGATGGACAAATTAAAAAAATCACCAACTTTATCTTAAAGATCAATAATTGAAGAGAAAAATTAGCAGAAAAAATCACCCTTAACACTTTCCTTTTGAGTGTGCTTAATGATTTTAATTATTGAGATCATTTAAAAACTCGGATTAACTTTCCCGAAAGAGAAAAAAATGTCCAACAATTTCTTAATGTTGTTCAAAATTGGGAAAATAAACGCAGAAAAGAATATTCTGATTTAGGGGAATTACTCAACTCATTTTTACAATGAACTGTTATTACTTTTGAAGATAAAAATTTAATTAAGACTCGGAATAATCTAATACTTTCTTCTATTCACCAAGCCAAAGGATTAGAGTTTGAAGTGGTATTTTTTGTTTATCTTGACCAAGGAACTATTCCTTATAAAGATACCAATGACATAATCGAAGAAAAAAGACTGTTTTATGTTGGGATAACTCGTGCCAAAAGACTACTCTATTTGATTAGTAGTCAAGAACTATATTCCCCTTTTCTAGATGAAATTGATGAAATTTATTTAGAAAAAAAAAGAAACTAAAATTATCTTCTCTTTCTCAAATATACATTTTCTGCTTTTATCGCCCTTGCTTTGACATTTTATTCTCGATTCTTTTTAATAATTTCCAAATAACTAAATACTTCGAGCCGTTTTTCTATAGCACCTGCAGAAAACCATATGGGATTTTTATCGCCAATTCTTGCATTTAATGATTTAAAAGAAAATTCAACTTCCGTAGCTATGTTAGACAATTCATTTAATTTGACTTTAAGATCTTCAACTTCTTTCTTTAATTTAGTGTTTTTTTCAATTTCATCATTCAATAGTTTTTGGAAACCATTTTTCTCCTTGATTTTTTCTTTTTCTAAATCTTGATTTTTCCCCCTCAAAATTTTTATTTCAGTTAATCAATTAGTTAATTCTGCTTCTAAATTATTAACACTTAAAGGTTTTTGAATAAATATTTCTTTTTTGTTTTCTATAGTAATAGCTCCTAGATTGGGTTCTTTATCAAGAGCAACTGGTGA